AGTCTTGATAGAAGGCGGCAGCGATTGTTCACGCCTTTATCTTCAAACGTCTTGCTTAGATTCTCCCAAGCTTCTTTAGCTGTCTTCGCAGAGCGTATGTGCACAAGACATTCAGGTTGCAACATCATACCTATCTTGGCTCTAGCTTTTCTATCTGCCTTTACAGCTGCTGCATCAGTTTTGATTGGCTCCTTACTAGTGTAGTCCCATAGATCTTCGTAGACAAGTGCCATTTCAATTTGCACTTTCCACGTCGCATAATTTGAACTGCCCTCTAGTCTCGCCATTGGTGGCATGCTTAAACCACTATGACTTGCCATTTTTGATGCTTGTCTTGACTTCTACCAGGGTCTAAATTTTCAACACCCTCTGCGATGTTCACATAATACGTGCACAGGCCTTATAACCTATTGGTGAACCCCAATTCTGGGCCACCAATGTTTCGAATATATTTGAAGTGGATACTATGCATATGCAAACACGTTAAATAAAGATTTTATGAATTTTATTTATAGTTTGCAAGAACATCAAAAATAGAAGTGAAGTAAAAAAACAATAGGCATGGACGTGATGCCAACTTAGGGTAATTTACCCTAGATTTAGAGTAAAATTGATTCTACAGGGTAATTTTCAGGGTATGAATGTTTCGAGGGTATTTTTTGGGGTAATTTATTTTCCGCGGGTATTTTTTAGGGTAATAGCAGCTAATAGCTTGAAAGCTTTAACGTTTAATAGCATACTATTTAATCAACTGCCAAAGAAATAAAAACTCTCAGTTTGGTGTTTTTGAATGCAACTATAATGTAGTAATTAGTGAACGCATATAATTTTTTTACCTGTCTTTTTTTCGATTGTGTCTGTTGTCTGTAGCCTAAATGTGGTTGGAGCTTGTTGGAGTATGTACTCTGTGGTTGTTTGTTGTGAAAGCTTGTGTGAACAAGGTGTGAAAGGTAGTTTCGTACTTACTCTATAGTTGTGAAAAATGGCATCAACGAGTGAGCCCGATCGCGCGAAATATTTTCAACTGAATTGTAGCTGAACCTCAATCGAAACACGAAATTTTTAACACGCAACGATTACAGAACCGAAAAGCGGCGTCAAGAATTAAGATTTTTTGTAGGTACTAAAAATAAACGTGATTTTGATGTGGGGGGGGGGATTGTAATCTTAAACCTTAAAATTTACTATCAACGGGAAGGGGGGGTTAAAATAAAATATAATCTTTGGAATTTGCAATGCAAGAAAACAATTTTAATCGCCTATAAAAAGCGAGTTGTCAGTCCGGAGGTCAACCAGCTCTCTAAAGGTGGGTAATTTTTATAGGAATTTGTTTAGGGTATTTTTTCAAAAATATGCTTAATCTAGGGTAAACCGAGACAAAGTCTAGGGTAAGGCAAAAAAATCGGCCCGTCAACTCCGTACTACAAACCAATCGCGTAGGGGTCCAGTGATGTATGACATTTCCTCACGCCCCTCACCCCTGTCAGTAGATGGAGACATGACACCTGACAGAAACTGTCATTACAACAAAGAGTAAAGATAGTAATGTTTTAATCAATCTTTAATTCATTTTACATGTTGGAATTAATTTATTCATTTCACATTGGCAAAATTGTGTGAAATGCGCAGATATGCCATTAATAAAAGAAGAAGAAGACTAAAGTATGTACCTACATATCAGGGAATTACAAGTGATTGAGTAAAGTTTCTTTTGTGCTTACCGTCTTCGCTTTATTTGTAATATAAACTCTCCATTTTTCGAAGTATTTTTATTTGTAGAAGATGCCTAAGAAATTGGTGTTTGTGTTATGGTTGTGTTACACGCATTGTTAAAGTACGAACAGGACGCTATTCTTTATAAGATTCTAGTGAACGAGAAAAGATTCTCCAAGTGGTTACAATGTCTTAGTGCTGTGTGTGGTACTGAAAATTTTAATCCAGGCAGAAGTGTCATTTGTAGCAAACACGTTGTACCAAGATTCATCACTCCAAAATCATGACTCTTGGGTGATGCATATCCGTCATTGTTTATTGATGATGGGCTCTCAATCAGCCTACCCTCTTCAAGCAATACTGGTAAGGCTGGTTTAATCTGCTATTACCTTTAGATAAAGTAATTAAAATGATATGTATCTTCACTTTATGTTGTGTTTTGGAATACCGCTATTCTTCATTAGATTTTTTTTTATTACAGAAATTATATTCACTTGGGAACACAGCTATGCAAGAAAAAGTCATGTTGACCACACATATTAGAAAGTGGAACTGAACAGAGGTTTGTTTTTAATTTATTTTATTTAGATAACAAAGTTCATGCTGCAGTTTTGGTGTATTTTAATATAGATTTTTGCTTTAAAAAAGTCTAGTAGATCTCTCTTTCTTACACACATAAAGAAAAATTACATTAAGTTACTTAACTCTAGCGGGCACGCTAGAAGTGATTTTGATCAGAGAATAAATTGATAATATAAATAACATATTTCTAATATCATCTAAGATTATATCCTGTTTTTTAATCTTGCACACATAATCAATATTGATTTCATAGGTGGTGTAATTTTAAAAGAACAAATTGTGACTCCCGTGTCTGCAGCCACTGAGTTTACTCAATTAGTTGCTTGCTCTGGAGATTAAAATATGACACAAACTAAATTATCTGGTAAGACCTGTCTCTTTCTTTAGTGTTTCTTTATTTCAATCAAATAGTAGTTCTAATAGAGAAATTCACTGAATACTTTTGATGTTACAGACCCTGTGAAATGTACCCAAACAAAAAAGGAAAAGGCTTATTACCAAATAAAGCCAATTGTCACCTTTATACCAGAGAATTTATGAAGAATATAACAAGCCAAAGACGTAGTTGAACTTTCATCATTAAGTTAAGAATACTTAAATACCTTTAAGTTTTGTAAAAAGTTATCATTTGAAAAGTTCCTGACAAAAAATGAACACAGTTGCAAATATGTTTTTGAAATGCAAGTGAGCATGTGCTCTAAAAATAAACATGAGAGGTGATTCACTACCGAAGAAAAGATAATTGCTTTATCAATATCAAAGCAGAGTCCAAAGTGTTATTGATTTTTAAGCAAAATTTTTTATTTTATCATCCAAAACTACACTGAATACTATGATTAGAAAATTGATCATAGAACCAGGCTTCATGTAAGAGGTAAATATATGCCATATAAGGTTTTTCATACTACTTTTTTAATTTTTTGTATTACTACCAAATAATAATATGTTCTTTTTCTACTACTATTTGAATTTACTTTTTCAGGTGGACAAATGAAACTCCATAAAAATATGCTCCATCATATTTGATGAGATGTCATTAGAAACAGCACTTTCGTATAATAAAAGTAATAAGGATTAAAGATAACATTAATGGATTTGTAGAACACCAAGAAAAGAAAGTGGATTTCGCAGATCATACTCTTGTATTTATGTTGGTGCTGTTTACAAGTCGCAACAGCCTTTATGTTAGTATTTCTGTCAAGGAGCGACATCTACTGTACATCAAGAATATTTTAAAGTTAGTAGTAGAAAAAGTTGTTGAATTGGACCTTAATCCCATCGCAATAATATATGACCAAGGCTCAGCTTTCCAATCAGCACTCAAAAATCTAAAAGAAGACACTTAGTGTGATCAAATTTTAAATTGAAATCACAGGTTGGTACAGAGAATTATATTTATATGAAAGAAAACTAATAGATTTAATGAAAGTAGTGAAGGTTCTTATTTTTATATTGTTATCTATGTTTTAAGAAGTTCTTAAATTTTTGTTTCAGTTGGCATTCTTAAAATATGTGGGGTGGATTTGAACATTATGATTCTACACACTTGATAAAATGTATCAGGAACAATTTTTTAACAAAAAATTTAATATTGGATAGTAAACTTGCAAAATGGCATGATATTATTTATGTCTATGAGACAGACTGTCAACACACTGAAGCTGGGCTACGTCATAAATTAAATGACCAATGAGTTATACCTGATAAAATGATGAAGGTAATGCATTGGTTATTATATTAGTATAACAATTAGTATAAATAAAAGAAATAATTTGTATTCAGCTTCTATATTCTCTATCAGAGCAAGTGTTGATTCAATGACCTGTATTTTTAATTATGTAACAAGTAGTTAATATAGTTTACACTTAAATTACAATAATGATTCTCTAATGAAGATAATTTTAAATATGATATCTCTTTTTGCAGGTAAAAAATTGTGTAAAAATATGTCTGCAGCTTTGTCTTACACTGCAAATTTCTGTGAGTATTAGATGAAATTTACTAACAGTTAATAGTTTTGAATCAAGTTTCATACAATTATTATATGAATATTTTAATTTGCAGCAACTTATGTGGATGGCAGGCCGTCAGTACAACATTAATAAATACAGCTGAAGTTGTTTCATTCTTTGACCAATTATTTTATAGTGTCAATGGAGCATCGATAAACAAAAGAAGCATAAAGGAAAAGAGCATCATTCTTTCTGGCCAAAGGCAACTGAAATTTTAGAAAACCTTAATTATGTATATAAAAAGGTATGCAAATATCAGTGCCTCTTTAAAAAAATGTGATTACCTTGAAAAGTTTCATAAGGTTGTGCCACAAAAAACGTAGCTAAGAATTGCCGAGAATGCAGAAGAAAGCTGTGAAAAATATAATAAGTTAAAAAATAAATTATTCAATAAATAATATTGGAAAAATGTGTGTTTCATTTACGTGTTCGTTTTTCCTTTTTTGTTTTAATACAACAATAATAATAAGCTAGATTTATCAGTCTGCTTTATTGTTATTGTTGTATTAAAACAAAAAAGGAATTTAAATTAAAGTAAAAATAATGTGGAAACTAGGAAGACGGCTAGGTACCTACCCAAAACAGGGCTGTATAGCTAAATGCCTTTGCCCATAGTAAATCTATATATTTAAAACGAATGAAGCTGTCATGTATCACTGGCTCCCAATCACGTTCTACGAAGAAATTTTTTGTTAGGAAGTTGGTCGTCTGATACCTCTATAAAATCCGTATTATTATAAAAACTATTCTGATTCTTTTGAATAATTCCCGTTAATTACTTATTTTTGGAAATTTTTATTAAAATAATATTATATTCGAATTCCTTTGACGAAATGGCTGGTCCGATGGAAAGAATACAGGTTCTGGATGATATTGAAAAGGATATTATTACTTGTTTGCAATGTGCTGGTAAGTTTTGGTCATTATGAATGTTTTAAGCATAGTTCATTAATTTGTTGTATTCATTATAATAAATTTTCAGCTCAAGCACTTCTGGAACTTAGTAAAGAGAAATCTGGCCAGAAACAAGCAGAAACAAATACATCACAGTTCTTGAGAACTCTCAATCAGGTAGAATCAAAACTGAGTGATCAAATTAACTATCTAACGCAAGTTTCTACAGGACAACCTCATGAAGGATCTGGATATGCGTCACAGAAGGTTCTACAAATGGCTTGGCATAGATTAGAACATGTTCGCTCTTGGGTAAATGAGCTAGACCGCTTAAAAGCATCCCATTTGGCAGCTACAAACAGAACAGCACCTGGGAGTGTACCAAATGGCAATATGACTTCATCTGGAACTAGCACTTGATATAGACTATGAGTTTTAGGTTATGATTGTGTATTCATATAATTCTTGATACTCAAAAATTTGAAACAATAATCTTCAAATTCAAAATTTTGAAGTTGTTTTCATTAAATATTATTCTTTCTCAATCAAAACTAAACTGTAACTGTTACCAATAGATTTAAATAACTTTTTGTATTTATAAAATAATCCAAATTTAAATAAATAGCATTCTCATTTAATCATTATTTATTTTTATTGCATTCCACAATGTAGTTCTAAGATGTTCATAAAAACAAAAGTATATTAAAATTAATGTTGATAAAGTCTATGGGAGTTTGGAAGAACTTATATGGCTAGATATCTATGTATAGAAATATAATAATATAATGTACATCCACAACCTTTTAAAGAGAATCAAAATCTGATATAGCATTTCTTTGAAATATAACAATTGAGAATAAATGGCTACTTTTTTGTTTGATATATGTTTTTGTACTGTATTCATTTACAATCAGGGCAGTCATTTAGGAGGGAGGACCAGTTAATATATTCCATTTTAGTATGCTAAATTATTCACTGGTTTAAGATGGAACCACAGTACTATTTATTTTTTGTCCTAGTTATTAAGTTTCAAAAGAATAGTTCCTACCTTGCTTGCATAAATAGAAAAATAAATTGTTACTAAAAACTTGATGTGTACCTAGAAATCATCATCAGCCCTGTTACATCTGCACTGCAGGGGCTCATGCCTTCCTTATGGAAGGCTAAGGAGGAAATAATTATGCTGCCTTTTAACTATAACTAACTACAGCTTAAAATATCTTGGTCCTAGATTCTAAGGTCTAGGTCATTGGTTCCCAATTGGTGGTCTCTGAAAGTTAGGAAACTGGTAATAGAGTGGTCAAGAAGTTCCAGTTGACTACATTAGTCCAAACCTGATGAAAAGCTTCCACAAATCAAGAGATGGCTCTGCATATACAATACCAGAAATTGTAGTTAAATAAAACAAAGGTCTCATGAATAAATTTATACTTATATTATTTAGGATCAACTTCAGTATGTCTGTCATTCTAGTAGAACCACCTCTTGGATTTTGAAATGAATTCATACGATTATTATTACTGAATTTGAATTTAACTATTTAAATCTAATAAATATGTATTGTCATTCTATAATAAATAAAATTATGACGCAACAACAGCTGTCATATAATTTCCTGGATACTGCTGTAACCATAACAGTAACCAACCTAAATATGAATAATGTGTAGAAATAAACACAATTACAGATGAAACAAAAATTTACTGGTATATTTTGTGATAATTATTACAAATTAGGGAATGAATTAATATTTGTATTTCGATCAAGAGAAAAACATTGGTAGTTACATTTACAAAACCATAAAAATTGAAGATAGTGGCATTGGTATGAGTTATTATTATTAACAATACATTTTAGAAAATAAATACTGAAACTGATTGTAATTTATTTTGAAAACAAAATTATTCAATTCCTTTGATCCTCAATCTATTGATTAAAGTACCACTTCTTAAGCCTGCTCCAAATAATATTTTAAAATTAGATATATATGCACACATTATATGACGACAGTATCAAATGCCCGTGCTATATAGTGTCAACACATATGTGATCAAAGAAGTGTGCACCTTTGGGTCCAGGGCGCAACCACATAATCTTTTTACACACAATATTTGTACATATCATCCAAATAATTATTATTTAAAAAAATGTACACCAAGTTAAATTAACCATGTAATATAATTCTCTTTTTAGTTATGACTATTCTAAGGTGGCTAATACTAACTATATGGATATTTCTATAACACTTGCCTTAGAACAGTCAACACACAAATGTATATTAAACTGAAACAAATTATCAATTTAACATGTTGGCATATTTAATGACTGTTTAATGTTATAGGAACATAGAACACAAGGCCTTAGAATACCCATTCTAATCTGAAAGTAAGCTTTATTTTTTGACTCATGCTGATCATGTCATAAAGCTCTTAAACTTGAACTAAACACACAAAAAATATTAATGACAGGGGTTATTTATGCATGCTTTCATAAGATAAAAAATATCAACATAATCAACATTTAGGTGGAAAGACAAGTAATCCTATGTCTGTTACAACAATAACTTGTTTAAAAAAGGCTTCTATCTTTTAATTAGGAGTTAAGTAACAACAATATTGCCATGAAAGCCACCATCATTATTCACATCCAATACAAAAGATACTACCATAAATACTAATAAGAACCAATGTCCCTTGTCACTTGGACCTTACCATTATACTGTTTGTCAAGTATGCTCATTACAAACTTTATGTACAATATTACACTTCAACAATGCTCATGTCAACACTACAAAAATGATAATTACAAATTGTGCTACCATAATAAATTAACTATCCAAATGTGTGTTCCTCATTATGCAATAAAAATGAAGTAATAGAGAATGGAGTGCCACTGGTGAGTTGCAATTCTTTCAACACATTACAAATAAGACTAAACACAGAAGTCACTCCTCTTTTCAGCTTCGTTGATTGGCATTGGCCTTTGTGAATTTCTCTATATCGTCCAGTGATCTCTTTGCTTTCGTAGATATATCATCCATAGATCTTCTAGCTGTTGATGTGATGTCATCAATGGATTTCTTTGTTTGGGTTAGCAATTCATCTGTGCTTTTGCAAGCTGAAGTGGCTAGTTCTTTTATTTCAGAATCTATTTTCCCTATAACCCATTCAATAGCTTGTCTACCTTTGCCAGCATTTAAAGAAATCTTGTTTGTCAATAAATCCTCCATATAACTGCTAAGGGGTACTCCCTGAAAACAGAAATGTTAATTGTGGTTAATAAGGAAATGAAACTCAGCTTCTATAACTATTAAAAATAGAATTATATTATAATATGAAGCAAATCACAATGTACTTTACAGTTACAATGTTAGGCAAAGTCAATGGATAAATATTAGAGACCTTGACAGCTAATTCCATAGTAACAGCACGACTTACAATCTTTGTTGAATGAATAGGAGCATTTGGACAATTCAAAACAGAACATATATGATGAGTGATAGCAGTCCTTATCTTTTACATAGTTGATATTTTATAATATCAAATGTAATGATTGTGTTTTATGTCTATTACAAAACTCTTTAGAAATATAGTAATGTATGTGATATAATACTCTGTGCAGAAAATAATTCTATTTCCTGATATTATTGGCAATGCATCAAAATTTATCAGTTTGGACTTTACCCCTGCTTTGTTCAACTACGAGTTCCTGATTATCTTAAGTAAATATGATGAGCCAACTTGATAATGTTTTTGATTTAAGAATATTTGAAAATGTATGTAATGCAATACTATCAGTAAAAGATAATGATCTTAAAGTTCACTACACATCTTATATCTTTAAGATGTGTGGTAACTTAGAATTTAGATACATATTTAAAATGGAATTCATTACTTAAGATTTAAGAGATAATAGATAAAATTACCTCCAAAAACTCCAAAATATGATTAAGTTATTAGATTAAAGACTTACTTGAACTGTGACCACAGCTTCTTGCTTAAGCAGTGTTTTAGATGGATCTGTAGGATGAGGTGTATATTTGACTGTTTCATCAACTGCTATATATCGACAAAAAGACAAATTTGTAGTTTTGAGAGTCATCTGTCGTTGCGTTGGGTCAACTATTGATTGTTCGCTAGCATAGCATATTTTAGCTGTGCCTATAAGCTGTAAAAATAAATAAATAAACAACGTACAAAAATGCATTCAAAAGATAATGTAGGATGATAAAAGCTAATAAATCTTATGGGACATTATCACTAACAGAAGAATATCTAAGTTTTCAGTGAAAAATAATATCATGCTTTCTGGAGTAATTTTCATTGATTGGAAAGTTACTTCTAACAAGCTTACCGCTTGAGCCCATCTGGGGAAAAACCATTTAGAGCTGACGAGACGATGAGTGTGTAAAACGCCATTTACTACTTTTCTCTCAACCACATCAGTTCCAATGACAGCTGGATTCATTGGATTGGGATACTTTCGCCATGCTGCTTGCGCGACTGTCTCCCATGGATGACTAAAAATGAAAAAACAATTAATTTCACACATTCCAACGTAATAGATATAATCAAGATCAAAACGTTGCGTCATTACTTGAAAGTGTGTTCAGATGTCCAAATTTTCATTATAAGTTTTTAACTAGTTTCTTGATGAAAATTTAAATCTCATAAATTAAATATGCTTAACAGCCTTTCTCACATTACGCTGATTAATATGATTAACAACCCTCTTCTTCTACTCGTCAGTCGATTGAAAAGAAAAAAAAATATGAATTACATTAGTTTGACAGAAAAGACGTCAGCACAAGACGCCAGTTCATTGACAGCTCTAAGATTGACAGTAATGATGTGCGGAATCGATTACTATTAATGGATTAATAATTGATTTTTCCATTTGAGATTGGCAAAATTGTGCGAAATGCGCAGATAAGCCATTAATGAAATAAGAAGAAGAAGAAGGATTAATAATTTTTTAAATAATCAGTTGCTATTGATTATGATTTCCTAATCGACAATTAACCATCGATTATTTCTTAAAACGTTAGCAGTAAGAATAGTTAAAAACGTTAGTACCTACCTATTTTTCATTAACTTAGATGGCTTTAAAATACGGTGGAATTAATCTGAAATCATTAATAAATTTTTGGGGTAAAAATATATTTTTTTTTATTTTTATTTTATTATCAATTATTAATCGAATACGAGTAATTCTATTATCAATTAATCAATGTGTATAATAATCGAAACGGCACATCATTCATTGACAGTATTCAGGAATGTCAGACAAAGAGTAATATAATATATATGATGTCAGATGTAACCAAACAGCAAGGGGATTTTTTTTTTCAGCAAATGCCCTATAAAACAGAAAAAAATGAAAATAAAAAAAATCAAAATAAATCATTTGTTGATCTTTTCAATGATAAAGAGAAGTCTTTCCTTACTTTGTCATTTAAATTAAAAGCAGACTCCACTGATAAACTATTCATTTACTACAGTCTTATGACAACATATTACCAAAACGAGCAAAAAAAAGGAGCAAAAAACATGTTTGTGGTCTGGTTCTTAAAGCTAGACGTCTCAGCAGGAAACATATTTCGGATGGTCAGGTTTCTTGGATTCCTTGGACTAAGCTGTGATATTCTCGAAAAAGACGCAACATATTTATATTGTTCCTCTAGACATTTTGCAACTAATAAAAATAATTAAATAATCGAACAATCTCGCCGAAAGTCTTTTAAAATCACTATGTCCCAAAATAATGTCTCATTCCAGGAGGCAACCACAAACTTTCCTACTGTCAGGAGGTCTTATTCAGATGTTGCCCAGTCCCCTATATCTCCCCAACCAAATTCCCATTTGTATCAAGAAATTTCTCTATTTCTTATAGGAAAACTATCTTCCAACAGCCAAGACCTAAACCATCTTTGCGTAAAGACTACGATAAACAAGCTCACCAAAGCATCATTTGCAATGATAGACCTCACTTAGCCAATGGATGTGTTTTGGCCAAGTCTTCTAGCCTCTCTGATGTTTCTCCCAATGTGACCTACTTGAGGTTCTTTGGTCCTTGCTTTTTGATTTCCTTAACAGATTTGACGATGTTCCCATACCGCCCAATGTTGCTTCTAGACTTATTGATCTTAATAAATTTATCCAGTATAGTATTGGCCAAGATAGTTCAGTGGAATTGTAGAAGCGTACGAACTAAAAAACATGAGCTGTTTTCCATAATTAATGAATTCCATTCATCTGTTCTTGCCATAACGGAGACTTGGTTGAAACCTGGAACATTGTTTAATGTGCCTGGGTACTCCTGTCTCCGGGATGACAGAGATGACTTGGGTGGTGGCAGTCTTCTTCTTATAGCAAATTCAATTCCATCCTCTCAACTTCATGTTCCTTCACACAGCCAGGACATTTGTGCAGTTGCTGTAAGGATTTTTAATATTTCTTTCTTATCTAAATATGTTCCTCATCCTAATTATATTTTAATGGAAGAGTTAAAAGTCAATATAAGGACTCTTCCTCCTCTTATGCTTATTATGGGGGATTTTAATGCTCATTATGTTACCTGGGGTTCCTTTCATAATGATAATTGTGGTTCTCTTTTGCTGAACATCCTTGATGAAGAAAATTTGTGTTTTCTTAATGACGGCAGTCCTACAAGAAGGGTTCGTCCCAATCAAAATCCCTCGGCAGTGGATTCATCGATTTGTTCTCCTTCGTTAGCCTATATTATATCATGGTCTGTTCTTGATTCTACTTATGGCAGTTATCATTTTCTAATTCTGATTTCTTTGTTAGACAGTTTTCTCCCTGATGGTCATCCCCCGCCTTTACATAAATTTAATCTCAATAAGCCAGATTGGGTGTCATTCACATCTGCTTTGGATGAGAAAGACGACTTTCCTGTCATTTCTGCTGAAAGTTGCCTTAATGTTTACAGTGACTTTGTTGCAACCTTATTGACCGTTGCTCACTGTCATATTCCTATTAAAGAAATGATAAAGCTCGGATTGGAAGTATAAAATACGAGTATAATAGCAAAACATAAAGAGAGATGCAAACAGGAATGATCCGTCAAGTTGGATAGATTTATTTGCGGATAAATTAGCTTCTCCTTATGCTCCTTCTCCTATTTTGATTGTTTTCCTATGTTTCTTAATTCTGTGATTCCTTCTTGTGGGCACCTTGATGGTCTATTTTCATTTGATGAATTTCATAGAGCTCTTCATGGATTGAAAGACACCTCACTTGGAGCTGATGGCATTTCATACTCATTCTTAATTTAAGCTCCTGATAAAATTAAACACTTTTTTTTACCTTTAATTAGTTATCCCTATTCTGAAACCGGGGAAGAATCCCTCAGATCACTTCTCATATCGTCCCATTGTTCTCATCTTACATCAGTTCTGGAGCATGTTATTAAAAATCGGTTAGAGTGGAAAGTCATAATATTTTGGCGAAATCTCAATATAGATTTAGAAAGGTATTCAGTACCTACGACAGTCTGGCCATTCTTACTTCAGATATTCGTTTGGCTTTTCGTAATAAAGAATACTTGGTGGCAATATTTCTGGATATCCTCGGCCTCGGCGTATGACAACGTTCAAATTCCTGTTCTTAGGCAAAAATTGCTCCAGTTGAATATTTCTGCTAAATTGGTTCGTTTCATTTGTAATACCATCTCTTCCAGGATCTATTTCCATCAGATCTTTAAATGTGTTTTTGTCCGCCAGAATGGTTTGGTGTGGTTTACCTCAAGGATCTGTGCTCAGTCCCTTAATGTACAGTCTATTCATCCAAGATTTGGAAAGTTCGGTGAATCTTTTTTGTGAAATTCTGCAATACGCCGATTATGTAGCCTTTTATATTCGCGTTAAATCTATGGTAGAGGCTACGTCTCGCCTCAATCAAGCATTATATTGTCTAGGAGTCTGGCTAGAAAATCATGGACTATCCATTTCAGTTCAGAAACGCAGTACAGTTGTTTTCACGAAAAAGCGTATCATTCCTGATCCTAATCTGATTTTTATTGGTAACTTAATTAATTTACAAAATGAGGTCAAATTTCTAGGACTGATTTTGGATTCTAGACTTTCTGGTAATCCTCATGTCAATCATGTTCTCAAGAAAACTGAGCGAAATTTGAACGTATTAAGGGCGCTGTCAGGTGTTTGGTGGGGAGCCCATCCAACGTCTCAGAAAATTCTTTACAATGCTATAGTGCGTAGTCACTTTGACTATGGAACTCCCTTTTTAGATCCTTGTAATAAATCTGCAATAGATAAAGTCTTGAAAGTTTAAAACAAAGCCTTGGGAATCATCTTAGGTGCTATGAAATCGTCTCCCATAAATTCTCTTCAAATAGAGTGCGTGGAGCCTCCCCAGTATTTGCAGTTTTTATGTGATTGATTTATTCTTAGAGTTCTTCAAAACACCTCTCATCCTCTTATTCCAAAATTGCTCGTTTTGTCGGAGACTTACAGTTTAGAAACTGATTCTCAAAAACTTCTTTGTATTGTGGTTAGCTTCAATAAGTTTTATAGGCCCTCGATTCCGATGGAGAAATTTTCTTCCAACCTTCTTTATCAGTTTAATTTGATTCTCTTATATTTCAACCTGATATTCATCTTAACTTCGGAAAAGAAAAAAAATCTATAAGTGCCCCCTACGAGTTTACCAATTTGCTTCATCATAACTGGCGCGGTTGGACAACTATGTACACGGATGCCTCTAGGTTTTCCGACAACGGAAAAACAACAATCGAGTAACAATGATTATAATCGATTTTAATCGACTAGGCTGAACAATTGACATGTTAGAGTATTTTAAGTAATAATCGCCCATCGCTACTAAAAAAAAAAGCAAAAAATAAAATTAAAATAATGCCCATATAAATCGAAGTAAAATAAACCACAGTTAAACTTTACCACGGAATAAACTAATAATATCCAAGAAACTGTAGGTTTCTGGCTTTAATTATATACCTACCTATATAATCAAAGTTTTCAGGGAAATATCATTATAAAATATTTTTTTCTGATAGGCTGCCCTTTTATAATTAAACACCAAGCAGGGTCAAAATCATTAATTAACACATATACAGCATACACAATGAATAATTCTGCGGCTAAAGTGAGTTTAATTTGGCTTTTGAATTTTCTTAGTGCATTCTCAATGATAAAACTTTGGACTAAAATTATTTTTAGGTAGGTGAGATATTTACTGAAGCGGGAGCAGCGTTCAATAAATTGGCCGAGATGACTATGATGTTGCATCCCATTGCTGAAACTTCATTGAGGTATAAAAACATATTTTGCATAGCAATCTTGTACTGTCATGGTTTTCTATTATAAAGTTTTAAAATATTGCTAAATAACAATTTTTACAAATCTGCAAGAGTAAATGAATTAAATTTATTTTTTATATAGAAGATTTTATATGAATCTTGTTAACAATTTAAAGTCTTCTTATTCTGTAACTCTGGCAACTTCTGGGGACAACTGAAAAAATGGTTTACACAACTCTGTGGGCAGCCAGTCATCATGCGGTTTGTTTCATATATATATATTTACATTTACATTATATTTACAATATCAAGTGTCAAAATGGATTTCAGTGGAGATCGCCAATATTGACATTTCAAAATTGCAAACTATTGGTAGAAAATGTGAATAAGTGATTTTAACACATCAGAGTTGCTATATCTTTTCAGTGATTATGATTTTAGGTTGTCAGTTGAGTTGGTGAATAGGCCAGCTGATCACTTCACCCTAGTGGCTCATATGTAGGTTTCAAAGTCTTGCCATTTCTAAGGTCCAAGGTCGAATTCACAGTCCGATTACTGTGAAATAAATGGAAGTAATAAAAAATACAGCAAAAAACATTCTACATACAGGTTTTGGTATTGTGGTTGTTTGAGATTTGCATAACAAACAATCACTTACTTGTTTGGGATCAGTGTGATAAAGACAAGGAGGTCTATGTCAAGGTCGACCTGGTGGTATATGTGCCAATGTTGGTGAAAAAAGTAAATAATTTGAATGTAGAAAGTCGGAGTATAAAGGCTATTTTTATTTATCTGTTATAATGTATGCAATGTTTTCTTATTTATATACTTGAAATTAAATTTTAGTGTTCAAGCAAAAACTCCTGTCAAGAGAAAAACTACTGAAGAGAGGACACCTGCTAATAACACTATACTTCCACAGCAATCTCAACAATCACAGCACAATATTCATGCTGCGCCAATATCACAACAGGTATTTTAAATAAATTAAAAAATATATATATGTACATGTCAGTGGAAGAAAAATCAAGAAGTAAAACTCAACCAAATCATATTTTAGGAGTAGTATTTGTTGTACAGGAATGGTGTCTGCAGTACTCCTTCGCAATTCGATTTAGAAAATTTGTAATTTCGTGAAGCTTTGTTGCTTATTCATTCAAAGTAGTAACCGGTGTTTGCAAATGTCAACGTCTCTATTTTTGAACAGTGTCGGGGTTGCCACACCGTTCGCTAGATGTCGCTAGTGGCATCAGTATTTATTTGTGATATTTCTATTATCAGCAAATTTTGTCTACATTAGTATGAATCCGATTTGTGATTACATTATTTTTTTGCGATATGTCTTTTCATTCATCATTAACAATGTTTAAGGTAAAAAGCCTGCAGTAGTAAATTAAAAGATTCCAAAAGGTGTGCTGGGTAGTAGTTACAAATATATTTAATTATGATGTAAAAGATTTACTTGAACTTATGCTATTATTTTTGCAGGTCACATTGAACATGCTTAATGCTCAGGAATCAGAAATGGATGTTGTGGGTCTTAACAATGAGATGAAGTTAGAATTTGAGTCAAGTACAGAAGAAGTAACTACATAACCAAATTAAATAGTGGAAGTAAAAATCAATTTTTTTTAAAAAATATCTTAAGTTGTGAAAACATTTATAAATTTATTTATTCTCATTTTTTAAATTCAAATGATTTGACACACTTTTTTATTATTAACTTTGTCTTTTAAAACTGCAACAATGCTATCTGCTTTTCTGTTCTTTACAAATGCAGCATGGAACACAGTGCTGTACCTTTTGAAGTAGATTTTATTTGAACTTGACATGCTGCGCTGCGTTCGACGTTGTATTTATAAAAAATGCACAATAATGGGCTATTTGAAAGAAATGCTTTCAACGCCATCTATGATATGTATATGAATTTAGTGAGTTAACTAGTCGCCTTGCTTCTTCATTTTAGGGTTTCGTACGTTTTATTACCTCGTTTCTAATGTAGATGACGGTTAGTTATCGAGAAAGCTTTTTGGTATTTGTTAATAAATTAAATCTGATAAATTTTCAGTACATGTTGCAAGGTTGTGTCTACTTATCTACAATTAAGTACTTTAAAAATCGCTGTTAAACCTCCCCTTTTTGGAATAAAACAATTTCTTTTACAGTGTATAGCATTTTATTATTTATATCCCCTTAGTTGGCGTTCCAAAATATATTGTAAATATTATTTGAAATCTATTATTCGTTGGAGAAATAATTCTATCCTGAAGTTTTATTTGTCAGTGCTAGTATCATTGTCAAATTACTGTATAACTTTATCCCAAAAGAAAAAAAATATGTTGTCAGCTCATAGTCTTCAGACCAAAGAGTAGTATTATATTCTTCAGACTTTAATGATAAATGATTTATATTCAGACAGAAGCAACGACAACGCCATCTATGATTTCTGATTATCCCTATGAAGTCCACTTTAGAACTAGGATACTGCATAGCCTAGATATTAGTTCTATATATTTTTATTACTCATTCAGATTGCTTTGAAAACTCTGCTAATGATATCACATATTACCAAGGTTAAAGAAAATAACTATAGTGGGTAGTTCAGTTTTTATTTTCTTAAAATACGAAACAAACTGGTAAATTTCATATAATAGGTCTTAATGATAATTCATGAGATGTGATAAAGCATAATAAAAGTTAATTTCTGTTTTACAATCAATAAAAAAATATTTTTTGCAGTATACCTTGATAAAAATTGTGTCAAGATGGCTAACACCAGATTTCGACTTTAAAGTTAAGAATGTCTCACACTGTACTTGAAACAGGTTTACGTTTATGATTCAAGTTTTTTAATGATCAGTTGATAACATAAAACTAAGGCTTTTTGGCTTTTGAAACAAAAATATAATAAATAAAAAGCTCAAGTTGAGATTTTTTACTTTTTCATTTTAGAAACAGGTTGTAAGTGTACATTATTTGGCATCAGTATATATGATCAGTGCTCTATCAGCCCAATTTTACTAAGTTTCTATTTGAATAGGAATGACGACTGGGTAAAAAAAATGCAATTCTATTTAGTCCATCAGTCAGATAATAGAAAAAAATTGGATACATATTTTTTTTTACTTCAATTTAACAAGAAATAGCTTAGATAACAGGCATTAAAGTTGAGGAGTGGGGGCTCGCTACGTCACAGTCGAGTAGAAAACTTACCATAACGTGACGTCATGTGAAATTTAAAAATCATGCTATTTTTGCATGACCAGAAGACTCATATGGAAAAATTTATCTGTCATTTAAGCTAGATTTGATAAGACATTATTTTTCTATTCCAATTTGAATTGGGTGATTCATAAACTTTTTTATGAGTACACTCTGATAGTATTTTATCAATAACATTACAAATGTTGCTTCTGATTTTTAATTTTTCATAGTGAGGAAATGTGCTACCTGATTTTTTTACCCTTCTTTGAGCGTTACGATAACAGCTCCAGGGTTGTGGTTCAATTATTAATGTCTTAGAATTTTTAATCAAATATTGTAGAAACTTGTGTAATCCTTCATCACCATTGTTCAGATGTATCCACATAGTTACAGAAAAACAGAAACTTACATCAAACACTTCTCTTCCGTGTGACTTTAAATAATCTTCAATTATCATATGGTCTGTATCATTCATAACATTCAAATTCATGTAACTTAACGCAGGTTCATGATTTGATTCCTTTGCCCTTTCAATTAAATTCTGATCAATGTCTATTGCTAAAATAAAAATCTTCGAATCAGGATAAATATTTTTCAGAAAATCATATAGCTCCTTAGTGAGTTCCCCTGAATTACAACCTATGTCTAAGCAAAAAATAGGTTGGTTGTTGTAGGCAGAAGGAAACATGGAGGCCTGGAGATTTCGAATTCTTTCTTTGGCACTGTGAAATGAGTAATAATTAATGAAATTTCCATATTTTACAGCACCTGGATCGTCGCCAATGAATTGCAATTCTTCCGCTTCCATGATACCTTGCAATGTTGCAATGAGAATCCTATTTAAGCAAAACCTACAGTGTTGATGACGTCTAAAATAGAAAGGTAAACTACGTCTACATTTTTTTGTATTAATCATTTGAAAATACTGCTTAGCATTTAAAAATAAACCACATTGACCTGCATTTTAAAGTTTTATTTTTCTAACACTGTAGATATTTAGAGCAATATTCGCTTAACTTATAAAAAATCCTCACAAATTAAAGAATCTATAGAAAAAGATCGGATTTGACATACATGGATACTTGCAAAGAGTAGTATCATAATGATATACGTCCATATACGTCATCGGGACATAACGAACAAATGCGAGAAAAGATTACTCGATTTCAATAATAATGCAAGATATCGAATGAGGAAGTATTTAAAAAAATAAAGAAACTACAAATATTTATGTCACTAGATGGCAGCACAAATTGTTTTATCTAAACGTCATTTCATGACGTTAAACCAAAGAAAATAGGTTTGTCAGTGTTGTATGGATCTTATAACTCGGATTAATACAGAGTTGAAATTTAATAAGTTCGAGTTATGCAAAGGCAACTCGAAATTTCTTTTTTATTTGTATAGAGGAAAATGGAAACTAACATAATGGAAGTGAGTACAGAGGTTTTTTTAAGTTTATGAAAATCAATCAAGTTAATGCTGTGATATAGATACTTAAAAGTGGCATTCAGCTACGGTCTACAATAATATTACCGCCAAATAGTTTTTATAAATAAAATACTTATGCCATAGTTGATCTAGGACTTGTTCATTATAAAATTTAACAAAAGTTCTGAAAACAATAACAACTGGGTAAGTTAGTTTTATTGCTATTAGTTGTTTGTTGAACTTACAAAAACAAAACTACATCAAGTCTCAATAAATTTTTTATATTATGTATGGTGAATGAACAAATGGGATATATTAATCAGCAACAAAAGTCATAAAAACGTTAATTATAATAAAAAATCCGTTTATTATCTATGTATATACTTACCCGATATGTATCAAATATACTAGGGATAACATGACTTCTGGCTAAAATGACGTTTGTGCAAAGTTTAACGTGCAAATAACTTGTGCTTTCGAAATTAAGACTTCAAAAATCGCGTTGAGCCATGTGTTAAGTTAATTCGTTCGGTGGATATGTGTTTTTGGTTCTTATAATAATATTGTTAACAATAGATTGACATCATACACAACCTACTCTAGACATCAGTTTAATTGAAATATATTATTTACTTAGTACCTAGAGTTAGAGCTCTCTTAAAAATCTCTGCGGAGGTGTCGTGTGCGTTAGGTCATTACGTCCCCTCAAATATAGTATAGTTGAGTTGTATAATTGAAATTAAAAAAGCAGCCCTTGCTAAGTTTCTTGCCGATTCTTGACAGTACAAGATCCCGCCTTAGTATTGCGAACCATTGGCAAAGTTTTAGACTTTCACAAGTACTATGTAACAGCCTAGACTGAATTGATTTTGATATTTATATTAACATCATTCGTTGTGTGGATGCAACGAATGATGTTAATATAATATACAAATGTTAATATACAAATACAAGCTGAAGTCTGCGCTCCGCTTTTTGTTCTTCGTTCCAAACCTGAATTCGGATGAAAGTTGCCCATCACTAATGGTGATGTATCAACCAAACATCGTTCCTTTACACGTAACATATTATACAACTTAAACTTACGATTAAAATAAATTAAATAAATAAATTAAAAAAATAATAAATTAAACTTATTTAAGTAATGTTTTCTTGGTTTGCTTGGTCACCCTATTTTCTTTAAATTGTTGTATAACCTAAAAATGAAAATACATCATCTATCACAAAATAATGCGACATTAGCGCCTCTTAATGTGACTAATGTAGGTAACTATTTTACGATATGCTTGGCCACATCATGAAGCAGTCATTCTATGAGACATCTATAACGTTGTACGCAAATTATTCATTGATCTGGCCAGGCCACATCATGATGCGGGCAGCAAGTTTTTCCATTACATGAAATACGACCATTTCATGAAATGGCCGGCCGCATCATGAATTGGTCAATTTCTCGATCAGGTCACGACAGATACATCAACAATTTTTTTAGATCGTTGCCTTGTGTCCCGCCAGGCCGCATCTGAAGCAAACTGTAGAGCGATCTTCCTTGGAGTACATCTTCCGAACATGTCCCGTGCGCATGCACTTGAAACAGCGCAAAGGATCCAGGCGTTGTATTCGCCCTGCCGACCCGACTATTATCCTCTCCTCCTTAGCAATAGTTTTTATAAGTATATGAACTAGCCGTTCATAGGTAAAAGATTTTTTTAATCGGTCCGATATCTGAGTTTCGAATTTTGCAAGTCTATTATCTAGTGACTATTCAATGCAAACAAACAGACAATATATTCTTTTTAAAATATTAGTGTAGATAGCACTGCAGTTTCTTTGGTACCTAAAGTTTCTATGTATATATATCTATGTTTATTTAGATTTCACTTACAGGGACATATGGGGCATTAGACAGGGCTCCAATAATTTAGCAAGTATTACTAGAAATATATTAATTGAAAGTAATTCATAAAAATACAATATAAGAATTGGTAAACTGATAAAACTATCATTGTCGAATAAATCGTTATTAACTGTCAATTCATTAGGTATTGCTGGAATAATTTAAGATCTTCAAGGTTCACCTCTCATGTCGGTACTCCGACTCTCAATTTGTTTTTGTTAAATCGTAGGTTAAGTTAAAACTGAAATTGAAAATAATTTATCAGTAATCAGATGTCGTAATGTGTTTATATATTTTTATTATTAGTAGTTGGTGTAATAACTTTTACAAAGAAAAAAGCAAAAGTATGGGAATTTCGCATTCACAATGTTACCGAAAAATATTCTTAATGAAATATGTTTAAAAAATCCATCTGATCAAATTTTTACTTTTATCGAAAGTTTCAATATTTGTAAAAAAAAAAATCTTTCGGCTGTTTGGGTGGATTGCCTGAACATTGATGAGAATACGCTCTGTAGTAGCGAAGAAGTAACAGGCGCTTAAAAGATTTGTCAGTACTGTAAGGTTCTGGGTAGGTCGGTGGTTAGAGCAGTCGCCCGGAATGCCAAAGGGTGCCAGGGACCAAATTGTTTTTTTAAGCATTTTTCATTAAGAATATGTTTATTATTTGCTAATAAAATCGAGAGTTTGAAGAAGGTGTAACCTAGGATTTCATTGAGCAAACAAGAGCTTCTGACCCCACCATTAGAAGGTGGAGGCGTCCCGAAGATAAGATTATCAACCAGCAACATAGACAATGCTTATTCGAACGCAGAAAAAGTAATAATAGTTCAAAATATTTGCGGCCAGCATTGACCATAAATCGACTTTACGTGTCGTATATTATTTTTATGGTGGGTTGACGGCCCTTTGTATCCACGGGACCCTGGGCTTAAGTCCGTTAAGCCCTTAGGTAGATCTGCCCCTGACAATTGTATTATGAAACACCTTTACTTTTTCATACCATTTGGTAACTAGCATCCATTTTTATTTTCCGTTATGAATTTTAAAAAATCATTACTTCTGAAACCAAACTAGATGTCGCTACGGTACTTTCTTGATTTCTCCATGACAACCCTTCCGCTTTTTTTTTCATGTACAAAAGTAAATTAATTTTCAAAACTCAGTAAGCAACTCATATTCTATTTGTACTTTTTCGTAATTGTATTGATATCTGAGTTTTCTGCAAAAATCAACTTTTGGTAGAGTCGCCATCTAGTGAGGTGCTTTTTAGTGCTTTTTTTTTAAATACTTCCACATAGGGATGATGACTGGGTTAGTATTTTTTAGCTTCACTTTAACAAGATAATAGGCATTGTGGGCTTGGCATGGAGTGGGGGCTGGCTGCGTCACAACTATGTAGTAAATGGACAAAGGTGACAGACATCATGCGACATTTAAACTCATGTTGAGTTCTTCGCCGTAGTTTATTGATTACACAAAATAAAATAAAAAATAAATGTGTTCAATATCCTTCAAAATCTACCTGACGGACAAACAAAATAAAATTAGTTATATATATTAAATAAAAATTAGTAAAATTAATTTATTACTTACCGAAAAAGATTACATATGTAACGTTCTTGCAAATATCTTACAATGACTTACACAACACTGAAGTTTCTTTTAAAAAAATTCCATATTTGATGACGCAGCCGTTTGGCTTTTGGTGGGATTTTCATCCAGTATTTTTAGAATAAAACAATATATAGTATCATTTACCATTGATTAGTTAACAAATACTTAAGTAGTGTTTATAAGTAAGAAATATTTAATGACAACTTAAGAAGTTAAGCAGTAATTACTATATCAGATGCTAAGACGTTGATTATTTCATTTTTATAAGTAAGGCTGAATATGTATAAACTGCACAAGTCTCGCAACGCAATACTTCTACCATAAAAAGTTGAATCGAATGTAAACCAAATCGCTTAATTCAGTACTTATTATCATTTGAAGTAGCCATGCAGCATTGAACTTGACGTCGAGCGTAGCGCTATTACAGCGTAGAGGTTCAAGGTAATAAAACTTTTTTTTAACATTTTTAAGTACCTAGGTTTTATTTGATTGCACTCTGTGTAGTGACCGCGATGTGCTCGATATCGAGTTCAACGCTGATTTTATTACAGCATAGCACTGAAGCTATTCAAGAGCATGGTTATAATAGAAAAATAAAAATATTTATGTCATTACTTTTAATTTTTCACACCAGTTAGTCACCAGGCCAATGAAAGTATAGAAGTATACCAACTAATATTATGTTCCTCTCCATAGAAGGTCATTTGTGGGGGGATGGGGAACTATCGGGGATCCGGTTTGGGAGGTGCCGAACCGCAAAACTTTGGAAAACCATTGCTGTTATATTGTGGTTATGTTCTTTTTATATTAAATAATACGCTGATCTATGGGAACAGTATTTTAAGAATAACATTTATTTTTGTTTAGTGAGTGACACAGAACATTGTTAAGTATTCTGTGATACGACGTGATTAATTATATAACTTTTTTCCTGACCGGTTGTCCACTTAATGATAAAGTCTATGGGTATTATGATTGTTTAATCTGATCTGATTTACAGTACATTCCTTGTTATGAACTGTTTTTATTTGCATATTGTTGATATGTATGTAAAATATTTATTTGTTTGAATTAGGTAATGTAACGTAGTATTACATCTAGATAATTTACTGAAACGACTCAGTACTGCTTTTACTTTCTTTTAATTGTTAATAGACAACAGTTCCTTGTGTAAGTAATATTTGTACCGTTGCTCGCATCCTCTGCCACGCACCCGTTAACATGCGGCCGTGTCCATGCAAACCGACCTTGCACCCTGCGCATGCGCTGATAAGGATTGAAATGATATTTCCCGTATCAATAGACAACTAATACACTGAAACCGGTCGTCCGTGAGTGAAATGGTGGACTGAATGGTCCTCACGTTACACGCAAAACTCACACACATATATCACGAGTGCAACACAAGGCGCAATCGGACACAGATATGTGTCTCGCTTTTTGCCTTGCATTTTATTGGAGAAATTCACTTGGAAAATAGCTCTCGATCATTTTCAAGTTCAGTTACGTAAGTACGCGTGTGGAGAATTAGTGCGGAATAGCGGATGTTTGGTGGTGCTCGACGGCGAAGTGGCGCACAGTTATAAGCTCTCACCCGCTCCACTGCCTGTCAGTTGCCGCAAGACCACCCTCGTATACATCGTTTGTAGTTTTTAGTGCAGTGTGTGGAAATCGAATTGAAAATGTGTCCTTTCCGGATAGCCATTATCTCTGTTATCTGCATAGCCGTTGCCTCAGGTCATGTTCACGGGCCTAGGAGATCACGCGTCATAGATTTAGAGGATTACACACAAAATGAAATCGAAAGCGGAAGAGCTGACGAGAGCTCGTGGTGGCCTGCAGCAGAATTCACCGTTTTACAGAAGCTTTATGACGATTGCAGTGCACAGAAACAGTTCACGATGTGTATGAAGGGCAAAGCTCTGACAGCGCTCACTAGGGCTGTAGAGCAGGTGATAGTGACTATTTGAGCGTTAAGTGTGTGTTGTGTGACCTTATTGGAGTATTAATGGTTTCTTGTGTTGTACAGGAGAGCGTTCAGCTAGCCGATGGTCTCACGTTGGTGAAGCAAGCCGACGCCCCCTCAGCGATGTCTGAGCCTCGATTCTTCCCTGGAATGTCGACAGAAGATAAGCTTGATACTATGTTGCGTAACAAATTTCTACAGTTGATGAATACCCATACCATTTCTATGGATCTCGCTTCAGAAGGAAGAGGAAGAGGTATGGGGGAAAGCTATTCTTAATCTTAACTTACTCCCACACTTTAAATTACATTAAATTAATTTAATATTTTCTATTTGTTATTAGGTAAAAAGGTCCTGCCTTACTTACTGCTTGGCATCTTTACGACTGTGAGCATTGTTGGAGGCATGGCATTGAAGACCCTAGCAGCAATTGCAGGAAAAGCTCTGATCGCCAGTAAAGTAGCCCTCACTATTGCTGGCATCATTGCACTCAAAAAACTGTTTAGCCACGACGGAAGTAATGGTGAAACTACATTCCAAGTTCACGCAGATGGACACCATAGGTAAAAGAAATGTTTTTGTTATGATTATTCGAATGCTTTATACTTTACACTGTATTCATACATAGAAAGGTAAATAATTCAACTTTTTTAATTCTAGTCTTTAATTCGAAGGCGAAATCTATATGTGGTGAGGCCAGCGAATCCCGACCTGGTGGATCCGTATCGGTATTATGCGGAGCAGACGACTACGAGCGCGTAGTTTATTCGGCGCTGAGTGGTTGACCTTGAGTGGCGAGCTACTGAATTGTTCAACCATCAGGCGCCGAGCTAAGGAGCCGCCTGCCGCGCCGCTCAGCTGCTGAGCTGCCGGCGCGCGCGCAGCCGTTCCCGCCACTACCGATCATCTCCACCGTGCCGATATCCACAACAAATAAATTTAAACCAAAGTATTTGTCCTATTTGGGCACCCTTTTTAGACGTATCGGTCGTCCACTCTCAATTTCAAATCTATGTCAATAAATTATTTAATGTAATTTATTTATTTGTGACTACCGTTGTATGTTTGAATGTAAATTAATTTACTACGTGATGTAAGTTATGAAAATAAAAAAAACAGAACTCATAAATTAATGTTTTATTTTAGATCTTTTAAAAATTAGGTGTAACATGTTAGAATAGTTGTTAAAGGGAATACAAATGTTATGTCGATTTTTCTATATTGAAATTGAATTAATCCAAAATAAGAACACAATATACGTAACAGTTAATATATCTCCGTGTTTATCACAATTTACATAATTTAATTTAATCAATCCTATAAAACGTTACATTAAATATGTAATGGTCTCAATAGATATCATAGGGGTGCCGCTTCAGTGACTCATTGAAGGTTAATTGGTTATGCATAGTAGACGCGGCACGGATGTCTACATGTTTAGGGCTGTTGATTAATTATTTACAATAATTATCCGCTTTCTTTATTCGCTCTAGTAGAAAAGAGTCCGTGAAACGTCAAGATTTTCCGTTAAGTTAGCGAGTATGAACGTGGAAAGTAGAAAGTCTAAATCGATTCACTGCACATGCACGCATGCTGTTAACACGTACCGGTACTTTAATAATGTTTTCTGCTTTATTGATTAACAAGGTAATCTTATAAATTTGCTATTATCTCTCATTGAGTCCGCTTTATTCTGTACGTTAAATGTGCTTCCGTATTCTAACGGATGATTGGGTGACTTGTTAGCTGCTGTGAACCATTTTCGACGTCGAGCTGCGTCGAATGGAACGTTTGCCTGGCGTATAAGGTCAGCTCGTTGATTAGCCGGGCCCCGGTAAAGGCCGACCGCAGCGCGTTTGTGCATCGGGACGCTGTTTATAATGCAGATATGTGTTTGCCCAATCGCTGCACGCTACGCTTGGTATATGGCATCGTTAATGCGGCTGGCGTCTCTTTGCATACGCAAATATAGGGCGGGTGGTCCAGCGCTGATTAAGCGGTGCGCCGGGGCGGTGGAGCTGGCTTCATTTCTGCTAGGATTAGTGTGTCAGTTGATTAGTTGTCAGCTCATGCTGGTCGCATTGCCTAGTCGCGTTTCAGATTACTGTAATACCTTTATATTGATTATGTCTTACTTTAATATTCAAATGGTAATTTTAATATAGGGTATCTAAGAAAATGATTGCCAAAGAAATTAATCAAGATATAATAAACTGTTATATTTATATATTTGATCTATTTTGCATCCACAATGTTAAACTGAAAAATATTCCTGTTATCTGTGGTCCTGCGTAACTCAGTGGTTAGAGCAGTAATTTATAATTATTCATCTAATTTAAGTATTCAAGGTTGTCACTGATTGAGTACGATGTGCTACTGACGCTTAGAATCAGAAATTAGGCCATTTCCGTTACGTCCCTACGGTGTACCCGTCGTCGGCTGTTGTCAGCGGTGTTTAGGTCTCCTGAGATATGATTACGATATCAGTGCGGCTAATATTACTATCGTACCACCTAGTGTCCGTCTGTTTTCAATAATTGATGCTGTGTATATCTCAAATTCGGCCAGCTATCATTGGGCATCTCGACAGATTACTGATTTACGTTACTGGTGTATGTACTCAGCTCATTGAATATGCTCTTTGTGTGCTGAATACTGGATATACCAAGTTACGTATGTCAATCAAAGATGGTTGATGATCTGAAAAACAATATACATTTCTATTATGGAATTTGTTCCGTTAAAGATATTGATTTCTGACAGTTCCATTAATTCTAACTAATGACGTATTTATTATGAGTTCGTGAGATTGGTGATTCATATTAATCTGGTGAATTTCAGTACACTTTTTTAATATTTACTGATTCACTTTCAATGTTATCCATTTCACTGCCTTATAAAAGGTTTTCATAACATGCAGTTGGATATTATAAGGCCGCCGGCGTCGTGCAGCAAAGTTAGTTCACGGTTGACCGGTCAAAGTGTCCGACATAAACCTATTTTGTTCTCTTCTTATATATTGGATGTACGCTCCTTTCTTCTTTCCCGCCAACCATCTTTATATACCATAGGGCTGCCTATGTGAAGAGTATGCTTAGAAATAGACCGCAGGATATACAAAAGGGAATTAGTATTTGAAGCGTGTGTGCGGCTTTGTACACTTATCCTGATAAAAATGCCTTTAATCATCCGGAATAATTTGGTTTACTGTAAAATTATTTTTCAATTATGTGCCGTGGTTTCAGAAGACTACCATTTGCAAAACATAAACGCATAAAATTTTAATTAACTTTCTATAATTGTAAAGACATTATATTTATATTATGATTAAAGAGTTGCAATAAGAATCTATGACAGCATTAGGTAGGTACTACCTAAATTTTGCAAAATATATGATATACTGAAACTGAAAGGTACAAACATCTCAAAATATATTTAAGCAATCATCAAATTCATTTGACTTATATGAAGTAAACAAAGAGATCATAATAATAAAAATGCACATAGAATAAATAATGTAAAAATTATAATACCTACATGTATGTAAATAAAATAAAGTTCACAAATGCGAGTGAGAATGGTACTTATTCTGCTTAGTTTTGTTTCAACAATGTGATATGTACGTCTATTATTGCTTATTATTTTTAAACGAGTTTCGATATCATAGAAACAGTTTAGAAAATGAAATAAATTAAGATTGAACTATTAAACCTAACTAGACAAGCTTTTGACAAACATAATATTTTACACCAATTTTATCAGATTTTATTTTTATATTTAATATAGTATTTTATACCAATTTTATCAGATATTAGTTCTGCGAAGTCGTTATTATATATTTTTAACAATACTTTAAAACTTTCTTTACAAAAAGTACAATAGTACATAGGTTTATTAAACATTTCGCCTGATAAACTCATATGTATTAACTATTTACATGCATGGTATGGCGGTTTTGGTTATTAATGTTATATTTGCGTGACATTAGGATTACTTTCGTTTTTACAAGTACTTAAAGTGGACTGCGAACTTATGATATATTTCCAGTAAATAATAGGTATTTACATAGTTGTCGTCGTAAGAAGTATTTGAATTGTATTAAAAATAGCTTCTATTAGATAAATTATTAATATAACACTTGAAATTGTATAATTAAATTAAAAGTATTTACCAAACTATAACATTTTAAAAATAGAGTTAGAAGAGCCATGTTTACATTTCCGATGGAATATTTTCAATTTTCATTTAATAAATTGCACCAAATTGCAATTCATAGTGTATGTAGTACTAATATTGTATCATAAAATAGATATCTATACTAATTTATACTAATGTTATATATAAAGAGAAAAATGGTATGTTGTTTGTTTATATGCATTGAATGGCTCTACTAGACCGATCGATACTACATCGATTTGATAAATTCTTTTACCTACGGGAAGCTACAACATACGATATAGATTACCATATAGACATATATTATAATAGGAATCATGACTATTTTTATGTACAGATTATAGAAGAATATTAAACTCATATATTTTTTTTGCAATAAATTACTGCTATATATTGTTTTTTAATGTTGCATAACGTCACACCTTTTCTAAATAGTTGTGACGTAGCGAAACCTCACTTCTAAACTTTAATACTTATTATCTAAGCCATTTCTTGTTAAATTGAAGCGAAAAATTACATATCTATATTTTTTCTATTATTTGACTGACGAGCTAAATAGAATTTCTGTTTTTTTTTAACCAGTAAACTATCCCTAGACATTTTCGCAGGAAAGCAGCTTTTAACATTGGATAACGTCAATAAAATCTAACATTGATGCATCATTAATTGTTTTCATTTGATATTATTTTTTCCGTAAAAAACCAGAATTATTTTCAAAAATAAGTTGTAAACTAAATCATGTTGTTATGTTGTTTACTCATTGATTATTATTTCTTTTGTAAACACTACTGAAATTTAATAAAGTGATAGCAATATTTACTCTGTATTTTTTTTGGTCACATCCCTATTCACTTCGTCTGTGAGGATGTTCTACTTCGAATTACGTAGGTACTTGTACTCTTTCGCACGTAACCATTATTGGGCAAAGAAAACTTCTTCAAATCGATTCATATAAGTACCTTGATTTACGAATATACTTTGTTTTTATCTAACGACGATGAAGTGATGGAGTAAGGGTTTCTGTCTATACTTTCTGTTACACAGGACTGTCTTTAGCCTATCGGTACTTCTGGATATAGTAGAATAACGGGGCTCCCATGACTATCACCAAGTATGTTTATATAAAAATCGTTTGTCTCGCTTAAACTAGAGAACGGCTGGGTCGATTTAGCTGCTTTTCGTTTTGACATGTTTGTTGTAGTCCAGGGAAGGTTTAAATGGTGAGAGAAGATACGAAAAAACCATTTTCACGGATTTATGTTCTCAATCATTAATGTTTTCAATCTGATTTCTTTCGATTTGGCTCATACGTTTATATATTTTTACACTTATATTTATCGATAATTAAATTGGTTGGATGGTGACCCAGTAGGTACTGAAATTGAATAATAAGTCCAATCATTTTCTCTTTGTGCATGTCTCCGACTGCATGTTATGTAGTTCTTGTTTATCACGCAGGCGGGTTTGTTGTTTTATTTTAATTAAAAGTTTATTTATGTCCTTTTAGTTATACAAATTATCAGGTTTGTTTAGAAAATGAAAGAACAGAGTCCATATTTTTAAACTTTATCATTGTATCATTTTTA